CAGCTACAAAGGGGAAATTTTGTTTAGACTGGAGTTAAAGGGATTTTTTTTTTTTTTTTTTTTGATTTTTTGTAAATCAAGCAGGTTTAAGTGTCAGGACATGACAAAAAAAATCAGGCAATGTCTCAAATGGGGTAAAAAGTCAGCTAGCAACAGGAATCAGTAAACTTGATGGGCAAAAATAATCATATTTGTCTGGTCAGTGAACGCACCACAATTCAGCACAGTGAGATTGACAAAACTCTGAGGGAAGAACAATCAGTATTAAGTGAGAGGAAGAACAACATTAAGTTTTCTATGGAGGAATGTTGGCTCTTCATTCATAGGATGCCACTTTAATTAGGACAAGAGTGTTGAAAGTGCAGCTCAGGGGCCATTTGCAGATCTCAAAACAATTTCATGCGCCCCATCTGCCCAAAGTTTTTAGATACACTTTTTAAAAAATGCTAGGATGCAAATTTTACTTATGGGAGACATTTGGAAAATAATATTTTTTTTAAACATAGTGTAACTAAGTTACACTATGTTATTAGTAAATGTTATTTAGTACATTCACTAAATAACATTTAGTGTTATTTAGTAAAATGTAACCAGTTACATTTTACTAAATAACAGACCAAGGCACTCATTTTTATTAAGAAGGGCAAAATAAAGCAGGAGTCAGCTATACCCTCTTCCTGATGATGAAATTAAAAAATGTGTAAGATATTGTTTTATTTTTGTTTTTTTTTAATTAGGCAAACAACCCTTTTTATGTTTTGGATTCACAGTGACTTACACATCCTTTTTTTCAGAAATCAAACTGCTTGGCTAGTTTCTTTAAAACATTGAGTTTGTTGTTGAGAAGGTAAAAATGAAAAACAATCAAAATTTGATGCTAATTATAACTATCCCTATAAACTAACGTGCAATGCTACAGGCAGTTTAAAATGTCAACTTAGTCATAATTTTGTCTTAAGTTTTGAAATTATTGTGAAATCCTGTTTATTGGCAGAGCTGTACTAAACAAACGGCTCTTCCTCTCACAGTGCGACATCACCTCTTTTCACAGAAACAAATATTTAAGGACCATTGCAAAGCCGTCATCAGAATAAGCTTTTTTTTAACGAAGACTATGTGCACAAACCGAGGATTTGATTTGAAGGACTGTTGAATTATAGTGAATTAGCTAGGCAAACCTTTTAACAGTTTTATTTACCAATGCATTTTTCACACAACTTGAAGAAAATAAATTTATATAAATATAAGCATATATGTTTACATTTATACATGTATATATATATATATATATATATTTATATATATATACATACACACTTACGCTTATAAAAAACTGCCTTAAATGATGTATACGGGAGCAGCTCATAGACTTTCCCCAAAATACTCGCTTTGTCGGCAAGCGTTGCATCTCTGTTCCATATTTGTACAACATCCTCCCGATCTCGAACACTAACACTGACGCCGACAACCTCATCATCTGAAAAATGGAAGAGGAAAACAGGAAAACTGTTTGCAGAGGATCCAACAAAACATCTTTAATCTTGTTTTTATTTATTAAATTATCCTACTGTACCTGATGTGCAGTAATCTGCAAACTGCTCCCCGATAGTAGCAAGTAACAACTCTTTCCAAACTGTAGACTGAGACATAAAGCAGAGAAACTCATCACTAATACATTCCTGTTAGGAGAAGAAAAGTAGGTAAACCGTGGGCAGCGCTTACACTGTTTTCTTTTGGGATTTTCATTTTCCATACCCCTCCTTTTGCGTTGCTTTCTTCCTCCCTGGTGGTGTAGAAGATCAAAGTCAAAAATCCCAACAGAGATTGCATTTTTAGCTAAATATGTCATATTTACATAATTGAAAACAAGTTAGTCACTGTAAGAAGCTGCTGATGTCTTTAATACTATGTGGACTCACCATAGTGGCCTCCTTTCACCACGCATTAAGTGGTAGCTACATCTCAAAGGCAGGGCGGTGACAGGAGGGATGTTGTTATACACACTCCAGAACATCTTCAAGCATAAAACCAAATAAAATCAATAAATTAATATCAGTTCTGGATTTTTCATAGTCAAACTCTGATCTTGTGACTTGTACAGCAGCGCACTCTGCTGGACAAACTTTGCCTTACTGTCACAGAATCACATTTTTCCATCCATATGCCCTGTGGCTGCTTGTACACTTCAGAGTCTTTAACAATCTCTAAATATGACAAATATGTTTAAGATATTTTTAGACTTACAGAGCCAGAACTTTCAAAAAATAATCTTCACAGCTGCCAGCTGACTTGCAGCGCATAGTAACAGGTGGGGGGAGGGAGAAGAAATGGTTATTTTATGCTCTATACATCCAGAGAGTCATTAACTCCTGTCACTCCACCAACTTCTTTTGGATTCATTTAAAAAGGTTTAAAACTGAATGATATGTATAAATAAATATTTTTAGCAAATTTGAAATCCTAACTTTTAGATCATGGTAATCATCTCATGCAAAGACATAAGTGCAATGAAATGTCCGGCAGAAGAGGATTAGGACCACTGAATTTTTTTTCCTAAAATGAAAAGTCTGAATTCTTTGGGTTATTTCTTTTCTGGGAACCAAATAAATTTTTTTAAGCAAAAAAACTGAAAACGTTGTCGCTGAAGTCTTCTGGATAAAGCTTTAAATGAAATGCCATGTCTGCAAGAGGAAAGATTGAGCCATCCTGTAACAAATTTCATGATTATTGCAGGTAAAGTCTCATAAAATTGTGCATTTGAAATTTCTATCAAGTTTAGTTTCCAGTGATTCTGTACATATATAGTCAAGAGCATATCAATGTGAAGCCAGCTAGAAGCACACACTAAAAGTATGAAAGAATGTCACAAGCTGTTTGTTTTCCACACATAAATACCAAAGGCGAGCCCAGCTGTCGGGTGCAGAGTTTCCCAGAATTTTTCAAGCTTAATTTCAATATGAAGCGGGCCTTACTGGAACTTCACCTTCCAGTTGAGTTAGTTGTGTGCAAATGCAGCTTTAAAAATCACACTCTATTATCTTACTGCAGCTTCTGCTCAACTTTGTTCAACAAAGCCAGACCTTGGCAATGTCACAGCAGGAAAAATCCAACATGTCCATCCATGTTTTTTCTCTCTCCTGGCTTCATTGTGGGGGTCTACAACGGAGCTGTTGAAGCTACGGACGTTTCCGTCTCATGTTTTGGTAACTTTTGGTAATTTTAGTCATTTTCACACACTGTGAAAATGGGTTTATAGATTCTGAGTTTTTACCAGCATCTAGTCCCCAGCAGCGCCGGATTCATTTTTGAGGTGGGAGGGCCATGGGGTGTTTCGTCACTTCTGTTACGCACTTTGACTGTCAGCCGCGCATTTGTTCCATTGATATGATGGCACCTGTCAATCAATTCAGTGGGTTTGTCACAATTTGTCCCAAAGTAAACAGTAAATATCCCTTACCTGGAGAACAACTTTTCTGGGTCTATGCGCTGCAGTCTGACTAGATTTTATGATTGTTTGCTATTAAATGCACTGTGGTCATAGAGATTTGGTGGAAAATAATCAGAATTTTTTTTTTTTTTTAAGTTGTCAGTGGGGAACATGCAGAAAGCAGCTTTACACAGTGTATTTAGATGGCAGAATGGACTTTATTCCATTTTCAAAACTGGAGTCTGGAAAAGCGTAAAAGACAGATAAATGCCTGCAGCCGATCTAAGAACTGCTGAATACAGATCGACGGTATTAAAACACAGTGTCCGCATGAATGTTTTGTCATCATTACATCATTGGTGTGAACACACCAGTAGCGGGCTAAACAGTTGTCCAACCAGGAGACCTGTCAGCTCTTCAGTTCACCAAACCACACACACACACAAAAAGCTCATAAACCAATGACCCGCCAGAACCGCGCACACGGTAAAAAGCTCTGGTAGGATCCAAACGACCGCTCTTAGAACTACGGGAGGATTCAAACTCTGTTCATTCATTTTTAGCTTACAGAAAAAGCGCCAACACACCAAATTTAGAATCTAGAAAAGTACATTTTCTAAATTTAGAAAGTAAACTGAGCAATAACATTATTCTTTTCTGTTTTACTTTAAAAAAAATAAAAAGCTCTCCAGGTACACACAGTGCGTTCAGCAGTACAGCTGCGGGCGCCCTTGTGTTTATCTACTTATTACAAGTCCAAAATACACGTAATACAACTATGTCGAGGATAGATAGATATGACAAAAATCACGTCTGGTCAAATATTTGTAACATTAAAAAAACAATAATAAAATAGATGTCAAATATCCTCCAGCAATGCCAATTTAGAGCAGCAGGACAACCTAATAGTTCCAGCCATCATCACGTTACGGCGCAGCAGCGATCTGGATGCTGTGGGTCTAAAACCAAAAGGCAGCGCAGATTATATTTGCTGCATGTTCCACAAATTGTGCGGGAAATAGATGATCTGAGTGGGAGAGATAACCAGCCAGACTGCTGACAATATTTTTACATTGAAAACAAAATGAAAAACACCATAAATAAACTTTAATGTGCTTGTTATTTACTGAAAACCGTCAGTAACCATCGATATTTATGGATACTGATGACTGTTTGGCTTTTGGAAGAGCAAAAGGGGGGGAAAAAATTCATGCAATTATTTTTCGACCTAAGCAAAAATTATCTGCTCTGGGCAAAGTGTGGGTGAGCATTTGGTCCGACCCGTAAACGGACATGTGGGCCCGATGTCTTTTTTTTTCATCCCAACGCCATTAGAAAGAAAACATCATCACAGTTCTATAAATGGTGACAAATACAGAAATCTCATTTAATTTTTAAGCAGAATTAGTTCAGACCTGGACCGGATCAGAGTCAAAACCTTTTTTCAGACGTCAGACCGGTTCCAGATCCCAACCCAACCCGAAGCTGCCGCATGTGGGTAAACCTTTGGGTGACTGTTATGATCTGGAGCCTTAGATTTGGTCCAGATCTCAGTGCTGTAGGTTTTATCTGTACCTCTGTCTGCATATAAACACAGAGAGGTGTCAGTCACAGATTGTCAGAGTTGTGTGCAGTCTCTGTAAATGTTTGGCGGGACCAGCAGACGTGCAGGCAAGGCAGGACCGTAAAGTGTGTGTGTGGGGGGGGGCAATGGCCCCTGGCCCCCCCTGTTCTGGCGCCTATGCTAGTCCCTCACCTAGTGGTCCATTCCACCATGCTTAAAGTCCTCCACCATCATCCCTAAGCAAATAAAGAACATTAGCAGTCTCAATGACTACCGACCACTAGCACGAACACCCATCATCTTGTCCAATCAGCTGACTGCAGCCCAGCATGCTTGGGGACCCGTCAGGGGGTCTCTTCCTAAATGAGTCGGACAGTCAGTCCAGTCGTGTTCCTGATCTCTTTCCTCTTTAGAGGACCGAGTTCTTTAAGTCTCACCTGAACAGTTTGCACAGTGTAGATCTTCTTTAGGTTGGATTCACACTCTGCAGCTGTCGTCCCTGGTAATGACCTGGAACGACAAGGACAGAAAAAAAACAAAAAAAACCCTTTCAGCTCCAATGGAGGAACAGAGAATGAGAGAAGTGCTCTTTCTGCAACCCGGGACGATTATAGATAATCAGTTATATGCTCAGCAGTAAATATAGACTTGCATCTTTGAATTCTAAAAACACCAGCGTGGAGAAATTAAAAGAACTGCAATGGTTGGTCAGTTTGAGAGTATTGCTGCTGAATTTAACTAGATTTTTTTCTGGGGACAATGATAGACTAACCAGAGGAAATAAAAGACTAACAGCCTCCAATTTGATGTTCTGACCCCACGGCTCTTAATTTTGAAATATGTCTCGAGAGGAAGAAATTAGTTTCAGGTCAGAGATTTAGATTAATTTTCTAACAACATTGACTGGTTAAGCAAACTCCTTAAGTCCATCTGGTTTAATGGCTGCTAAAATGTGTTTTATCCATTCAACTAATGTGAAAAAAAAAATGGAATCAGAACAAGTCTGAACACAGAACCCTGAAGGACTACAATATACACTCACCGGCCACTTTATTAGGTACGCCTTGCTAATACTGGGTTGGATCCCCTTTTTGCCACAAAGCTGAAGTTGGTTTCCAATTCTGGCTTCCGATTCGTGAAATGACTACAGGGTGATTCCACCTAATTTTTCACTACCTTCCGCATCGTTAATCGACTCTAGTTTAAAAACTACAACATCTACACTCTTCAAACCTGGACTAGATTATTCTGTTCTAATAGAAGAATATTTAGAACCATGTTTGTGATTTGTGAAACTTTTCTCTGATTTGTGAAACTTCAATAAGAGTTGATTTCAGACCTTTTTTGGTTCTTGGTCACATGAGAGCTGCTCCAGCTCCAAAACTACAATACTAGACACTTCAAATCTGGACTGGATTATTTTGCTCTAATAGCAGAATATTTATAACCACGTTTGGGATTTGTGAAACTGCAATAAAGGGTCATTTTTACCCTTTTTTCGGTCTCTGTCACACGAGATCTGCTCTAATTCCAAAACTACAACACCTAGACTCTTCAAACCTAGACTAAATTATTTTGAACTAAAAGCAAAAATATTTAAAACCATGTTTGTGATTTGTGAAACATTTTTTGATCTATATTTACTGCTGAGCATATAACTGATTATCTATAGTCATCCTGGGTTGCAGAAAGAGCACTTCTCTCATTCTCTGTTCCTCCATTGGAGCTGAAAGGGTTTTTTTTTCTCTGAAACTTTAATAAAATGACATTTTTACCCTTTTTTGCATCTAGTTCATATTAGAATTGCTCTAATTCCAAAACTACAACACCTAAACTCTTCAAGCCTGGACTATATTATTCTGCTCTAATAGCAGAATATTTTTAATCCATGTTTGGGATTTGTGAAACCTTTACGTGATTTGTGAAACTTCACTAAAGATCAGATTACTATTCACACTTGTTCCATGCAGTGTTTTTCAAATTTAAATTCAATTCTAATTCAAAACCACTTTATTAATCCCAATGGGAAATTAAATGTTGGTGTAACTCATCAATTCTTCAAAGAGTTGGTAGGGTCTTCTTCAGATCTTCTGCAGCAGTCTGTTAAGTGAAGTTTCACAAATCAGAAAAAGGTTTCACGAATCCCAAACACGGTTTTAAATATTCTGCTACTAGTTGAAAATAATCTGGTCCAGGTTTGAAGAGTCTAGGTATTGTAGTTCTGGAATTAGAGAAGTTCTAAGTGTGACCAAGATAAAAATAAAAAAAAGTCGTGAAATCACCCTTTTTTGAAGTTTCACAAATCAGATAAAAGTTTCACAAATCACAAACATCGTTCTAAATATTCTGCTATTAGAGCAGAATAATCGAGTCCAGGTTTGAAGAGTCTAGATGTTGTAGTTTTTAAACTAGTCGATTAAAAATGCGGACGGTAGTGAAAAATTAGGTGGAATCACCCTTTAGCCATTTCCCAAATCAGAAGCTGGAATCAGAAACCAACTTCAGCTTCGTCTTCTTGCCTTAATCCATTGTGACAGATTCAACCAGGTACTGGAAAGATTCCTCAGAGTCTGCTCCATATTGACAGCATCACGCAGTTGCTCCAGATTTGTCGGCTGCACATCCATGATTTGAATCTCTCGTTCCACCACATGCCAAAGGTGCTCTGTTGGACTGAGATCTATTGATTATGGAGGCCATTTGAGTTCAGTGAGCTTGTGTTCAAGAAAACAGTCTGAGATGATTCATGCTTTATGACATGGCATGTTATCCTGCTGGAAATAGCCATCAAAAGATGGGTACACTATGGTCATAAAGGGATGGACATGCTCAGCAACACTACTCAGGTGGCATTGATACGATGCTCAATTAGTACTAATGGGCCCAAAGTGTGCCAGGAAAATATCCCCTACACCACTGCACCACCACTAGTCTGAACCATGGATACAAGGCAGGATGGATCCATGCTTTCATTTTGTTGATGCCAAATTCTGACCCTACCATCCGAATGTCGCAGCAGAAATCGAGACTCATCAGAACAGGTAACGTTTTTCCAATATTCTATTGTCCAATTTTGGTGAGCCTGTGTGAATTGTAGCCTCAGTTTCCTGTTCTTACCTGACAGCAGTGGCACCTGGTGTGGTCTTCTGCTGCTGTAGCCCATCCACCTCAAGGTTCAACATCTTGTGCGTTCAGAGATCCTTTTCTGCATACCTCGGTTGTAACGAGTGGTTATTTGAGTTACTGTTGCCGTTCTATCTATTGAACCAGTCTAGCCATTCTCCTCTGACCTCTGGCATCAACAAGGCATTTTTGCCCACAGAACTTTAGAAAACAAAGATATTTTCTCGTTTTTGGACCATTCTCTGTAAACCCTCGAGATAGTTGTGCATGAAAATCCCAGTAGATCAGCAGATTCTGAAATACTCAGACCAGCCCATCTGATACAAACAACCATGCCACATTCAGAGTCTCTTAAATCAACTTTCTTCCCCATTCTGACGCTCAGTTTGAACTGCAGCATTGAGTTGCTGCCTTGTGATTGGCTGAATCAACAATGAGCATTTGGACAGGTGCACTTAATAAAGTGGTCGGTGAGTGTATACATCAGTCAACAGCACTTTAGCATATTTTTTTTTTTTTAAAGTTAGTAATAGCAGAAACAAAGCATTCAAGGTTGTTTTTTTACTTTACTTGAAAAAAGAGCTGTTCAAAATGTTTATGCACATTTATTAACAATCCTTACTTTTTCATCTCAATTTTATAGATTTAGTCAAAATAATTAACCTAAACTCTGCTTGAATATGACAGCGTATTTAGACCAGCCTCTTAAAATTCTGTTTTTGTTTCTTGGTTTTTTTTAATTATGAGAATAATGTTGTAAGAGGGAGGCCTAACACAATAACACTTTTAGTTGGATGATAAATTGTCCGAGAAGTTATTCCAATAAATTTTCTTTGTTTTGAGACCTTTGTCAAGTGATCTAATAGAAATGGCATAGTAATGCAAGAAAACATTCTCGCTTTAAATTCTAATGAAGATTAACACTGGTACTGCAGTATTATTAACATACTCAAATATATCAAGGGTGAGCATTTATTGTACTATAATATTTATTGTGATAAATTTCTTTTAAGATTTTGATTTATCGATGTCACAGTAAATTCCTCTTAAAATTGATATAAATCACACTTTTATTCAAGTGTTGTTCAAAAGATCCTTTTTACAAATAGGAATGTTTTTCAAGAGCAGTATTTGTACAAACACGTGTTTGTGGGAATATGATTGCTGTCAGTCAGCCATTTAAATTATCACCATAGAACCACAAGATATAATTATAAAAATGTAAGTCCATATTACCCATCCCTACAATACATATTAGCATATGAGCTCTAAATGGCAAAAAATGGATGGAAAAAGGAAGGCCCTTTACGCTAAGGCAAGTCTTTATATGACAACACGGCATTCCAACCAAATAAGTACTGGTTTAGCAACGTGAAAAAGGAGGAAAACTGGCTTTATTTATAGAAGACGACAGTGTCTGTTTCAGCCCAAAATCTTCCCGGTCCCCCTGCTGGATAACGCAAAGTAACTTCAGATGGACAGCGGGATAATACAGAGGGGTCCCCTTCAGCTCCACTGTGCTGCGTAGGACCCATTTCTATAGACAAAAGTAAAAGTCTTCAGTTGCACAACCTAGCAGGGTTTTGGGATAGGAAACCAAAAAAATGGTCAAAGAAGCCTTAAAGGCGAATATTTCTCCTGCTACGTTTCGCTCCTGGAGGCCTGTAAAACGGTGGCCTTGCCTGCTGTTTTCCCCGTTCGTCCCGGGGCTCCTAACACCAAGACACGGCGAATAAACTCTAAATGATACCTGTCGAGCCAAAAGGTCCAGGGCGAGTGAAGAGGCAGCGTCATCGTGTCGCCTTCTCGCTGTTTCTTTGTGATGTTTTCCAACTCTTTCTCGTCGATGTCAATGTTGTTCTCAGAGGGAACTGTCTGGTCGCTCAGGACGCCTCTGTCCATCTGGACATCCGTCTGACCCGCGGGAACCGCCATTACCGCTGGAGACAAACCGTGGGCTTCGCTATGTGTTCTGGGTATAGCCTCCAGATAAGACGAACCGGTTCGGTTTAAGCTTTATCTGCAAGTACAGAAACACACTACCGCTTTTCCGCCCACCAACCGCGAACGTCTTGACGTCATTGGGTAGGAACGTCGCAGTTGGTCCACCCCAAAGACTACATAAAAATAGCAAGGACTCACTCTTCCACTTTTTTTTTTTTTTTTTTTTTTTCAAAGAAATAAACTCACAGGAATTTTTTAATCCGTGTCCAA